TATATATATATATATATATATACTTGAAATTAATTTTACATCAAGAATGGTAATACACCCAATTTTTTTTTCGATCTGACTTATTCACATGATTATTCTACCAAATAGTTTATATGTGTACAACTTTCTATAACAACACGAAGAACATCAAAGAACTTTGTAAAGGTTGAAAAAAATATTTTGTTTTTGTTGACGAAACGTGTATGGATATATTTACGGATACAATCGCGCGGTAATATACAGATATAGAGATATGTTTGTGTGGGTGTGCAAGTAGATAAAATCTAACTGTCGAAGTGTATCTCGAGGAGAAAATACCTCGAAAACTTACTGGAGAGTTGGCCATTTCGACCGGGAGAAGAGGAAGAATTGCGCGATTTTGAAGATGTCGCACCGCTTACACTGCTGCAGCTAGTAACAGCTGCGTTGTTCACCGCAACACCAGCCGGGGCTACTCCAATATCGTCTCTTGTAACTCGTCTATCCGGCGGAGATGCAACTGCAATTTCAAAAACGAAAATAATAAAACAACAATATATAAACAATAATAAATGATTTATTAGGATCGTATTATGTGATCACACAATAAAGTAAGAAGCTATACCGGTCGAAGCTGGATCTTGAGCGTTTTAAATAACTTCATGTGAATTTATATATCATATTTATAGTCTCTCGAATTATGCACCGAATTGACTTAGAAACACAACTAAACTACTTATACCATAGTACTATGGTAACTACCATAGTGATATCATAAATTTATCTTTTGAAAAAAAGATAAAAAAAGACCAAGTGTGCGTGCTCTTAGAAAAAATCGTTATATAAATTATTATATGTGCTTCTTGATGAAAAAAAGTGACTTTCTATTCCAAACCTATTTTCCAAGCTTTAAAAGCAATATTTTTTTCAAAAATGTGTGAAATCTTTAAATTGCGCCAATTATAAACAAAAAATACATTTTGTTGAAACACTAATGCTATATAACTACTTTTAAACAAAAATGAAAATAAAAGCATCTAATTAAAATAAAAAAAATTTAATATAAAAAGATTTGGCGCCGCTAGCAAACTTGATTGGTCTAGTGGCGCCAATTTTTTTGTATTTGAATAAATTTTCACCGTTTTTTTGTGAAATTTTAAACATTTGCTAACATTTGATTAATCGATTAATTGAACATTTAATGCCTCCAACAATTCTTTCAGCTTTTGACATGAATCTTCATTAAGTAATAGTTCCAGTTTTTCATCTTTCAATTTCTCGATGTACTTTCATATTCTTTATCTTTTATCGAAATCATCACTCCTAAAGCGTTGAAATCACTCTTTCGGATGGAGCATGCTCTCCATACACCTCCACAAGCGAACTTTCAATTGTATTTTTCTTAACAATAAACAATGCAGTAAAACTTCTCGCAAATGTTGTTTTGTTGGTACAAAAGTCGACATTTTCAATGCAATGACAAAAATGTTGTTTACACGTCTATCAAATGTCATATACTAAATATGAAAGTTGTGTGAAATTCTATTAATTCTTTTAGAACGGCGGAAACTTATTCAAACACCTAATATTGAATAAAATTTTTTTATTTCTGTCAGATGCATTATTTTTATGTATTTTTGTTTTAAAATAATTATATAACATTAGTGTTTTAACAAAATGTATTTATAATTGGCACAGTTTAAAAATTTCACATATTTTTTGAAAAAAATTATTATTATACAGTGTCTCAGAACAAACATTTGTCCTTAAATTGACGTATTTCTGACATAATTCTAAGACAATTTTTCCTTTGCCAAAATTTTATCCGTAACTTAATTTTTGAATTATAAACGGAAATAGTGATCAAATTACAATGTACGGAAGGTAAGCTGGGGTGGTGTAACGCATCGTCCGACGCCGGCGCTCAGTTGCTATCAGATGCTTGCTATGCGTGAAACGCGTGACGCAATAATACGCTCATATACATGTCTCTGTTCTCCCTCCTTCACTCTCTCTCTCTCTCTCTCTCTCTCTCTCTCTCTCTCCCCTCTCCCCCTACCTGATAGAAGTGTGTGCATACCATAGCCGAGCTGCAAAAAGATAGGATAATTTAATGACCGGGAATTCCAACGAGATTCTCAGAAATTCACATCAAACAACAAGTTTTTATTTTCCACATTAATTACTCATATATCACGTATCACGTTTACTCGAATTTTTGTCTTTCGCATTAATTGTATTACTTATAGCGTTTCACGTTCAGTTTGATCGATTTACGAACGAATTTATCAGTTCGTTAATATTATATAGTACCGATTAATTATTTAACGACTGAGAATGAAATCTAAGAAAGAAACACATCTAACAAATATTCAGAAGTTTTCCTCCTTTTATAAATTATATCGTATATCAATACGTTCATTTATTCATGTACTTCATTGATTTTTGACAAACGAATCTATTGATTCACTATATCACTATTAATCACTACTGATTGATCATTCGGCAATTGAGAATTACTACAAAAAAGGGAACATTGCACACGGTAATCACAATCAAACTCCATTGCAAATCAATACAGCCAATGAGTTACACAAGTATAATAGTTGAACGACAAAATGAGGAATTTACTAATTTTATTACTAACTTTATTAATCACATTAAAGTACTACAGTTTAATTATTCACGAGTTAAAATTATTTAAGCGCGTTATCTGAAGATACTGGTAGTATCTCGGCGCTAAGCTACGCGCAGCGACACTGTCGTGGCTACTTTACGCCAGCCGGTGAGTTATACATATGTTACTCGACATGGAGGCTCGATGTAAACAAGTCAATGAATTGAGTTGATACTATGAGTGCAAATGGCACGTGGCTCGCAAACTATTAGCTTATATACAAGGTGTTAGTTAAGTATGTTGCCTCAACAGAGCGATTCTTTGGTTTATTTCAAGTGAATAAGTCCATATAAACGTGTGTCCTAAACGGTTAGTTTCCGAAATAAAAAAAATTTAAACATGTCATAATAATCTGTTTATTTGAAAGAGAAATACAGCTTGAACTAGTCAAAAACTAGCCAAAAACAGAAAAACAAAAACAGGCTTCACACAGTTCTTCTGATGAGATAAAACAATTAGATGAATTGTTTAAAATGTCCTTGCGTCATGATACATCCATCGAGCCTTCTTCTCAAAGATTGACATACACGCTCAAAAATACAGGTGTGTTACATATTGCCTCGCATGAAGCAACTATTCGATTCCTCAAATCATTTTCATTCTCAATTGGGGTGGTATAAACCAATGATTTCAGATGCCCCTAAAGGAAATAATCCAAAGGATTTAAGTTTGGTGATCTAGGAAGCTTTGACTTTGTCACTTTGTTTACGGTGCGAATGGTAACTCACGTGAAGCAAGACATATTTATGCAGGAAGATATCTCCAACGCAATTTACCGTTTCAAATTTGCGAATATTTACCTGTATTTCGGAAAGAATGTGTCCTAAACCGTTAGGACACATATTTATATGGACTTTTTTACTTGAAATAAACCAAAGGAAATATTGAATATTAGTTCCGTATTTCCGGGTGTCATACAACGGCGGCGCCATTAATGATAGTAACACCGGAACAAGAGGGGAGATTGGAAACTCTGCACACAGTACGAGTGTTGGCCGGGATTTTTCGAATCCACGCGGCCATTCAGCGCCCTTCTAATCAAGGCCTTATCACGCACCGATTGGCTCTTTATCAGTCACGCTGCCCCGTGAATCACACAGGTTCTCGCGAGCTGCGAATTCTCGCGCTTTAAAGCGCGTAATATGATTTAAAATTAGGCTCCGATATCTTCAGCAGCCTCTTGCCTATTCGGGCCAGCTCAGAAAGTCCAAGAAAGCTCCGCCACTGGCTCCATAGGTGTCTCTACCTCCGACAGCTTTCTCAGCTTTCTGGCATACATGGAGCTTTCTGTCTCTCTTATTGTTTCTGTAATTTATGTGTGATACAACAAGGTTCTAAACAGCAGCGAGATATAAAAATATACGGAATCATACAATCTAATTTATAAAAGGAGGAAAATTTCTGATTATACAGGCCCACAAAAAAAAGTACCCTGTGCTGGGATAGAGATCTAGCTATTCTTATGTATTTTGAATCGTTAAATATGAATCTGACATCAAAATAGGACTATCCAAAGGTAAATTTTCAATATAGAGCAAAAAAATGACACTTTTTTTCCATTTTTGATTCATTTTTTCACTCTAGATTGAAAATTTGCCCTGGATGGTCCTATTTTGATGTCAGATTCGTATTCAGCGACTCAAAATATATAAGAATAGCTTGGTCTCTCCCCCCAGCACAGGATACTCTTTTTTTGTGGGTCTGTGTTATTAATTACTGAAAGGCAAAAATTCGCGTAAACGTGATACATGATATAATTAATGTGAAAAACAAAAACTTACTGCTGTTTGGTATGGATTTACGAGAATTTTATTGAAATTCACGATCATGAAATTATCTTGCCTTTTTCTAACTTGGCTATGGTATGAAAACATCTCTACAAGGTAGGAGAGGGAGAGAGAAAGAGAGAGAGAAAGAATGGGAAGAAGGAAAGGACGTGTACGTGCATGTATCATCGTGTCACGCGTAGCAAGCAGCTGGTCGCAACTGAGTGCCCGTGTTGGACAATGCGTTGCGCCGCCCCTGCCTTCCGTATACGACCCATAATTCGCTCACTATTTTCGCTTATAATTTAAAAACTAAGATACGGATAAAATTTTGGCAAAGGACAAATTGTCTTAAAATTATGTCAGAAATACATCATTTTAAAGACAAACGTTTGTTCTGAAACATTTATACATAACATTTGAATATTAAATAAATTAAATAAATTGCACTCTCTCTTTCTCCCTCTCTCCCTCCCACCCCCCCCTCTCTCACGATATTATCAATGACGTATAGTAGATAATACAATACTTTATGGATAACATCACTGCTATTATTCAGCGCTGCTATCGGTCAATAATGCAGCTAGCGACGCTAGCACTCGTCTTATCTTAGGTTTGCGAGGTGTGGGGCAGTTCTGCTTAATGATAATCGCAATTTTGATTGCGATAGTCATGATCAGTGATGCACATTGGGATCTACAATGTAAATACAAGAATATGCCTATGCGCAGGATGTAATCACGTGACAGTCGAGCAACCAATCAGAATTGTCAAGGTACGTCATCGTTTCGTAGTAAAATCGAATGTATTATTTCTTAGTATACTTACAGCGCTCTTTGCAATATACTTCAACAAATATTAAAAATATTAAATACAAAATGAATATTAAAAAACAATATTATAAATAAATAAGGAAAAATATACTGGCAATAAGAGTTAAGCGCAATAATTAAAGCGCAACAAAATTATCAGTGATTCATTAATCAATAAATAACAAACGTTTCGGCATCATTCCGAGTCATGATCAGTGGATAATTTTATTACTTCAATATTATAAATACAAAAATATTATAATAT